ATGTCTCTCGAACCTGGGACCAGGCCAGGAGACGACTGAAGAACTGTTTTTCCTATATATTTTCTTATATATTTAGGTTATTTATCATATCTATCGCATTAACCTTAGGATTTTTCTTTGCTATTTTGTATTGTAAACTGAAACCATGTTCACATTTCTGCAGGTCGTATTTTGCTGACGATACCTGATGCTCTATTTTGCAAGACACCTACTTAATGCACTCCTCACGCTCCCTAAAATGAGTAAATGACAACATAGACTCCACTAATAAACCATTTTATGCACCCCATAGAGCAGGAGCTAACGCCTGGTATGAAAATGCCAGAATAGCCGCTCGTGACTTAGGAAACAGTAACTGTTATGTCTGTTCAAAAGGTAATCCAGAACAGGTTATAGTAGGATACCCCATATCCGATTTCCCCCTCACTGAGGGACTAGAGAAAATCGGCGGAGATAATGCTCTCCTTAAAGACACTTTACAGTTGACTCTGAGCCCTCTCGACTGCCTACTTAGACACACACACACACCAACTAACCCTGAGACTCCATTAGGCGAATTATTGAAGTTATCTAATGACACCGCAGGGACCTGCGCCCCAATGAAACGCCCTAAGAATAGGTTAAAACCCTCACTGCCCTTAGGACAGATCCCTCTCCATTTTAACACTAGTATGATATGTCTGCGCAGACTAAAGTTAACTGGCCCAGACACCCACATAGATTATACAAAGGATAACTACACATTCTTCTCTGACTCCCCAGGTGCACGCTGTAATGAGACATGGCTAGCTGTCTCTGTGGCTGAAGTTTTATCATATCTGGAGGAACACACACACAGTTCAAGTTCGAGCGGAGAATCGATCATTGTTCCCCCAGAGGGTGTATTAAATGATACTGACTGGGGGGAGTTAGTTAAATCACACATGGTCACGCGCCTAACTAGAGCAATCCCTAACGGTTATTGGTTGTGCAATAATACCCTTAGATTAGCTTTACCTGTTAATTGGACCGGTACCTGTGGTCTAGTGACCGTTGATGTATGCTGTACTTTCATTCCCAATAACACCGCCCCTAACGGTTCATTCACACAAGCTATGAATAAACTTGAAGCATTACAGATAGAACTAATTGCCAATACAGGCCACGGTCAGTGGCTAGACAAGTGGCTACAGGACACGTTTGGAAAATGGAAGGAACTAATTGTAGCCTTTGTAACCGTTGCAGCATGTTTTCGATGATTATTGTCTGTTGTGTGATACCATGTATACGCTCTCAGAATTTTTGATATTAAGCTTGCTCGAAGGACCAGTTACATTTATGATTTGTTTTACGTTTATGATTTGTCTTTAGATTATGTTATTACATTCTGTCTTTATACTATGTTATCATTTCATGATAAAAGGGGGGAACTGTTGTGATATTTTGATACCATGGTAGCATTTACAGGATATTGTTTTATTGTGATATTATACAGAAAAGAGTTACTCAATAAGGCCCATTTACTAGTTGTTTTTCTCTTTCTCTCTGACCCATGTATTGATGTGTAAGAATCACAGGCTGGTACCCCGAGGTCGAAAATACCACAGAGACGAGACCACTTCCTTACTCCCATCCTCCCTTCCTTATCTTTTAGAAAAGAGCTTGTTAAAAAGCCAGGTGGTTTGTTTCAGAATTTTACTAATGAAAGAACTCTGTATTCTATGTCTAGGAGTGTATTTTGCTGGGATGATCATAAATTGTAACTGAAGAGATAAACTACACAAAGGATACTTCTTTGCTCACAAGGCAGGAAGACGTTTCCTTATTTGGTCTGTACCGGTTTGAACTGAGAACCTGCTGACACACGAACCTTTTTCCTCTATATAAGCTGTTGTGTACTTAATAAACCTTTGAGTTGATTGTGGGAGAGCAATCTGAACAGTCTGTGTCACTTTGTTCTCCTAACTGCTCCCGGCGCTGTAACTAACCCGCTGAACGGCATACCTGAGTGTTACTTTGAATAATTAGGAGTCTTATAAGGAAAGGACAAAACTCTGCTTATCGCTCACGCCACGGAGGAAACCCGGGATAGAAATTTCCTTCACTACTGTTAAAAAAAATACTGCAGTAAAAGTTTTACCCACATAAAAGTAAAAAAGTAAAGGCTTTGAATGTACTCAAAGTAAGAAACTAAAAAGTAGCTCTTTGAAGGATGTTTCTGTTTTTGAGCCTTCCTGAGCCTTGAGCTATTGTTACGCCCCACTTGAAAACGAAGTGTTGACTGGAGTGAGGGGTAACACAAAGTGAAAGAGAACACATGAACTACTGGAGAATAGATGTCATTTAAATGGGATTTATTGCCCAAAACTACTACAGTAAAAATAAACACACACTCAAAAAAATAATTCATTGGATGAACTTAATTTCATCTTGCCACCTATATTCCATCTAAACAAATCATGTTAAATCAATCCATCTTGATTGTGTTGTTTCAACACTAAATATGTTTGTAAGTGTAACATAATTTAAACATTAACATTCAGTTAATTTGATTTTTATTCAGTTAACATGTTTGTACCAAGTTAGTCTAATTAAATTAATTTAAATTCATGTTATATTGTTTAAACACTTTGGCACATCAAAAGTCAGTCTTGTTACATGAACTAGTAAAATATTTGTTTGTTTCACCAATGTTAATCTTGTTGAATGAACAAATGTAATTTATGTCTGTAGTACTTACACCAATCATGTTTCAGTTAGTGTTTGTATTGCTTATGTAAACATTACTTTTAATTAAATTAATGAAACATACATAAATGATAACTTGCAAAACCATCTTTTATTTTGCTTGAACATTCTTAAAACAGTTGGCAGGATCCCAGTTCAGCCTAGCTTTCTCCCCTTTAACGATCTCATACCAAGACCACAGAACTTCCAGATCAAGACATGCTGACTGAAAGAAAAAATACAATAAAATAACCCTAACCCTAATAATAAAAATGAAATAAGTCTGTTGAATAGTTTGCAGACAAAAAATATTATCCCCAAAGCAACTTTCGTAAAATGTAGTAAAATATGCATTGCAAACAACAATATGAATTTTAACACAATTTAAAGCTCAGACATAACATTCAACATTACTATAATATTACAACATTACTATGTTGCTTGCATACATTAGTCCTCCATTTAATCAGGCTGTATCCATTAATAGTGACTTTATGCTATTTAACGTGTGGAGAAAACATTCAATTTTGAGCATAACTGCTCCACTCAAACAATTTGTGAAAACCAGTGTGCATTTGCCTTTGTAACAATTGCCATCTGGCAAAAATCAGTGTTTACACTTCAAGTGTATAAGACTTTAAGTTATGGACGAACAATCTTTGTGTAATAGCCACAGAGCAAACCACATAGTTTATATGAACATTTTATAACTTACAATTTTAAACTTTAAAACAGTAAACACATATTTGCATTGCAGAAACCTTGAAAAAAAAAAAATCTGGCTTGCATGAGTCCGTTTCAAGCTCATTCACCCCATTAGCTTGTTTTTTAGGAACTGTGCCTTGGATGACAACCTCTGTCCATCCAGCTTCATGATAATCTTTTGCAAGACTTCAAAAGTGCATTTGAGCTCCGGTGGGTAGCTTAGGTTCAGACAGTATATCAGTCCAAATAACAGAGCACAAGCAATTGCAATGCTCCTCAAACCAGTGAGAACCTCCACGCCTTCAATCAGGACACCGATGTTCTCTGGGTCATCTCCAGGCTCCGCACCCTCCTGATGTATGACATACACTCCCATCACAGTTTGTTCCATGGCTTCAGTGTTGGCCTCAGTGTTCTGTGACGTAAAATATAATAATACATTTGTTTGAGTCTACATATGAAAAAAAAAAAAAAGGAATTCAGCAATCAGCGTGAATATGCTGATATATTTACTAAATTCTATGTCTCTGGTTTCACACCTCAGAAATTTGACATGAAACAAAACAAGGACCAATTGCAATATCTTTTATTCACACGTGGTGTCACATTTTACCATTTCATATATCGAAATTACCCATAACTCCTGGAGCAAATTACATAACACAGAACAACTTGTGAATATAACTGACCGTATATTCCTTCACAAGTTTCTCATGGTCTTCATTCAGGTAGACACACAAGGACTTCAGGATGCATGCTCGTCTTGTATGTATTGTGTCATCCTAAGAAAAAAGGGAATCCATAATGACAATATTTAACTTTTAGGCAGCAGTTTGAAAAAGGAATACTTAGTTTGGAAGAGTCCAAAAGGCCACATGGTAAATAGACTGGTTCTTATATAGCGTTTTTCTACTCAGAGCACTCAAAGCTGCCTTTATACAACAATTCATTCACCCAATCACTTTTTCTAAACTGTTTAAATGGCCTGTATTTATATAGCACTTTACTAGTCCCTAAGGACCCCAAAGCGCTTTACATATCCAGTCATCCACCCATTCACACACACATTCACACACTGGTGATGGTAAGCTACATTGTAGCCACAGCCACCCTGGGGCGCACTGACAGAGGTCGAGGCTGTCGAACACTGGCGCCACCGGGTTTAGTGCTTACTGTCTAACATTCATACACATTCACACTCCGATGAATGCATCGGTGAGCAACTTGGGGTTAGTATCTTACCCAAGGATATTTGGCATGCACACTGGAGGAGCTTGGGACCAACCCGCCAAGCTTCTGATTAGTAGCTGACCTGCTCTACCACCTGAGCTACAGCCACCTCAAAACATCTGTCTAAACCAAATCAGACACAAAATGAGGCAACACTAATGTTTTTTTGGGGGGGTTTTTCCCCATTTTGATCAAAATTAACCATACGATTTTATCAATTACTTATTAATATAAGACTGATGCTTATATAATTTGTATAAAATATGAAAACCTCTTAGGACTTTTGCCTACCATATGTATAGATATCTTTGCTCATAAAATTGCCAGATTATGGGCATAAAAAGTTCTTAAGCACAGATCTAACCCACCTTGGAGATGGCCACCATAATGTGTCTCATTTTTCTGCCAGCCACCCCACCTTTGCCTCGAAAGAGCTCCATCATGCGTGGAGTGTACAAGTCTAGCTCATAAAAGAATCTAGATAGCAGCGGTACTGTCGATATGCGCAGGAATTCCTTGTCAATCTGAAAAACATGAACAATGCACTTATAATATGCACCAGAGGAAGGACATACCAGGAATTATTAGCTGTTTTATCACTATGTTATGTCAATATTAGTGAAGCAAGAAATAACTGGTCAACCATAAACACACTCTAAAAGTTAGACATATAGGACATGCACCTCTTTCTCGGTGAACAGAGCTGGCCATCTGCTTTTAAAATCTGCAATAAAGGGCTGTCCTTGAATAACTTCTTGCCTTCTGTACGAAAAAGTCTTCTGCATTTTCATTGTCACTATATTGTCATTGTTTCTCTTCTGAACCTCTGAAAGCAGTGCAATTCTCTCTTTTTCCAGGCTGTCAGTGGTTTCTCCTTTTGGATACTGCAGACAGTAATTGACTTCTGCTCTTCTAGGCTTTTTCACATTCAATGCTGCCTTACTTTTGTCTTGGGCCTTGTTCTTTAGTGAATTTACCAACACCTCAGCACAGCCCAGGCCTCTCAGTTTGGTCCGGACATTGGCCATTTTATACTTGAGGCTAATTTTCCAACCATAACAGCCATTAAAGGATCCCTGCTCCCTCAGACAAGGATGCTGTTTGACAAGGGCTTCTGCAACTTCATTCAGGTCATTGTCAGTTGGATAGACTTTAAATTTTATTATTTCTTCAGCCAGCCTTTCTAAAAGGTGGGATTTCAGTTTTGGTGAGGGGGTCAAATGAGTTCCACCAGCAATGAACTCAGCATTGGCCTTTTCAAGTTGCAGTTCAGCCTCATAGCTGAAATGAGGGACTGTGAAGACACTTGGCCACACTGACAGTCTTGTAGACGGTGATGAACCTGACGATGAAACGGGCCTTGTATTGTCTGTGTCTGAAGAGCTTGAAAAGGAATGTGTTGGACTTCGCACTGGTTGACATGTCACTCCATCTTCTGTAAAACTTTGCAACTGCACACTATCCAAGTATACAACCTTTAAAGTTGCTTTATCATTAATTTCAGAGATCGCAGTCAGATTTACAAAATCATTTCCGAAATCAGGATCTTGATATTGAAGACGAAAATCCTGTTGCACTCCAAAATTTGTCTTTATTTCCTGACACAATTCCTCAATGGAGTCTGATATCCCAGCTGGTAAAATTAGTTTCCTGGCATCATCTTCTCCGAGAATGATCCTCAGTCTTATGGGCTGGGGCATCATGCTGACCTGGACAAATATCAAATATTTAAAAATAAATAAAGATGTACTCATTGACTATTGTGCGAGTGTGTGTAACAAATTCTAATGTCAACGATAATTTGATGATGTCACCTTGGCCTCGAGGAATTTTTTTACTGGAGAAGTGAATAGTGCATTTTCCAGATTTGTCTTGCATTCTTCTAATTAATGACAATTCTTGCATAAGATGCTTAAAAGAAATCTACTCTCAATAAATTAAGTAGCAATTGGTCTGCAAAGTATGATGTATTATTTACTGTGCCAGGTGATATAGGGGGAAAATACTTACAAACATCACTCCTGTTTACCCTGCAAGTTAGTGTGTCTCTTCAGAGTAACCAGACGCAGGCCTCCCACTGAATAGGCAGCTAACGGGTAGTCATCGAGTAGTTCCCCATGCTCAATCAGAGACACCTCTCTCGCATGTGACATGTCAAGCTCAAAAGCTCTGAAGTGCTCTCGATACCAAGCAGAGAACTTTTTTACAAAAAAGTATATTCTGCCATGCAAAATAAAAATCTGCAGAATTTCTGCAAACTCTGGCAAACCAAATATTTGCCCATGAACAACTATCATTCCTGTGCTGTAGTTCATGCCATTGTATGACACGCTTTTTGTAATATGGACATCAGTTTCATCTGGTAATCTTTGCTTTATAGCTACTGCGATATCACTTTTCAGAACATCAATTGGTACTGATGAGCCAACATTTACCATTAAAGGTGTCTTATGGTCAGAAGAGTGCAAGTCAGAGGCAATCACGAGCTGATGTTTTTTGGCAAGTGTAACAGGTATGTTCTTAAAACAGTTTGTATGGCGAGCAATTTGTTTAAAAAAACTATGTTTCGCCTCAAATCTCATTGTCCATTTGTGGACAAGAGGCCCAAAATGCCAAATCAGAGCAGGGTAGTGCTCCAAATAATGATGTTTAGGGAGAAGACTGTTGTTTGGAAAAAGTTCTTGGTATCTCTGGCGATGTTCACTGATTTTACACTCAAGGTAGGAAATCGACTCATCAGACTGGACAGGGGCTACAACAAGCTCCACAATGTCCTTCAGATCCAAAACAATATGCCATGCAGGTTCATCCTCTGGAACAAGTGGACCAATAATTAGAGGCAACAAACGAAGCAGAGACCAATTTTCATGTGCATTTCCACCAATATTTTTTTTTAATGAGAAAGTCTGGGGAATTGCATGAGGCCGGTTGGTTTTATCTGCCCATTTATACTCAAAATTTTGGATCAAGTTGTTAAGTTTTTCTAAGGTGAAATACTTTTTAGAGATTAAAAAAGAAAAACAATGCGCAAGCTCCACTGGTATTATGCCCTCTAGCAGATCATGTGCTACATCTGGAGGGTAGCCTGCAGTGACATGAAAATGGCTCAGATTTTTACTCAAAATACAATCTCGCTTAACTCCACAACAAGCACTTGCTGTTTCTTGTGCACGCTTCAAATGGAATTCATGAAGTTCCGGTGTTCTATGCTCAAAATCACCAGCAGTCACTGACTTTATTTCAGATTTTTTAGCTGTACAGAATCTGCATATGTATTCAGCAGAAAAACGTTCCACAAAACCTGCCAGCCCATGGGCTCCTAGGTTGTCAGCTATGACGCAGCTCACAGTTCCTTTAATACACTCGTTCAACTGACTGATGAACACACCATGTTGCTCCAAAGTTACCAGATCTCTCAAAAGTGGATCAAAGACTTTTTCAAACCCAAATGTCCTCAAATCTTCACTCTTGCAAAGGATTGCCAAATAAATGGATGAAAGGGCTGAATGAGAACCAGGTGGTAAATTGCCCAAGACCCAATATACACCACAAAGCTTGTGCTTTTTCCGTGAGGTCCCAAGAGGATTACAAACCTCAAAATCATAAATATAAAGGTTAATAGAAATTCTCAACTTCTCACCATCTAGAAAGCTATTTCTTTTATAATGCTCCCCATCTCGAAAAGATCTGTAAACCCTCTGATCACCATTCAGATTCTCTCTATTTTCTTGAGCTATTTGTTCTTCAATCACTCTATCCAGCAATTTATTGTGACTCAATATTTCCTGCAATAACTGTAATAAAGGGATGTACTGAAATTACTTCCTTTGGTCTATCGATAAAAAATACTCAACAGGCTCTACAACCCTAAAATTTTGTATGTAGTATAGTTTTCTTTTATAAGGAGTGGCAAGAGGGCCACACTTTCCCAATATTTTAGCCACAGGGTTAGAAACACATACAGAATTTGCAAGCTCTTCAATAACAGCCTGACTAATATGGAGGTTATGGCTCTTAAAAATTTCTGTAATTGTACGTTTTGTCAGAGGTACACTAGCTGAACTCAACAGAAAAACTAACTCCTCTAAGAACTCATCTAATCCTTTTGCTGGAACATGAAATATGTGTTCCAATTTCAACAATATTACTGCTAATTTCCGTTCAATTAGTTCGGGCTGATTTTCAACAGCACTATTATCACATTCTGTCACTGACTCACTTTCAAATTCACCATAGGATACATCTTCAGAACAGCTAGCCCTTACATTATCAGAGGACTCTATCACTTGAACTGGGTCCACACGTGTAACTACACTGGCTTTAAAATCTTTAAGTGTGTGTGGATGATGCTTCCTCTTTTTGTGTGTATAAAATGTATTGTAAATATTTGTCTTGAAAGGGCAACCAAGAAACACACAACTAACTGTCTCGTTACTTCGCAGATGTGTTCCAATATGGACAAAAAAATCTCTCTCAGAGAAGACGTCACTGCAGTCACATAACTCACATTTAAAAGTTACTGAACTTGAAGCTGTCTGTGTAAACTGAGATGAATGAGCTTTATAGACATGAGTGTTCAGTCCACTCCAAGTCTTAAATGTGCACGGACAATTAACATATATGCACAGATAATGTTGACCTATTCCGTAATGATGATGTAGTTTATAATGTTGAAGTAATTTGTACCTGCTGCTCTCTCTGGTAACACAATGCTTGCACTGCCACATACACGTCACTGATAAAAAAATGAAATATGCATTAGAAAACGTCAAGGAGATTAAACTTCTGCATCATCCAAAAAAAATAAATAAATAACATAATAATAATAATAAGGCAAACATGAACTTACCATGTATTGTTGAGGAGGTGCATAAGAATCTCAGAGCATGGGAATGTGGCTTTATTTTGTGATGTATTTCTGGGGAGAGAAATTAATTAAAACAAAGTTATTACTCTGACAAATTTGTGTTAATATCTACATACTGTGAAATGTGAAGACTGTTACGGTGCGTACACACCGAACGCGATAGACGCGACCAGAGCTTCAGGTTTACATGTAAAGTCAATGGAGGAGCACGATGAAGCGCGACTGGGGGTCCAGCTAAACTTCGGAAGCAGATTTGCATTGAGAAAACGCTTTTCTGCCTACTTCACACGACTGACGCCTTTGAAGCGCGAAGTAAAATACGCACTGCAGTTTGTGTGGTGCATTTTGTGCATTCGCGCTTATCACGTCTACCGCTCGAGTTGGTAAAATCTGCGGGACAGCAGCTTCTCAAACTCGGCAAGGGACAGAAGGTGGTACAGCTGAAAGCGGCCGTCATCCAGACGGAGCTTCTGGAGCAAGTGGTGAAACTCACCAAACTGCTCACGCTTGTGGAAGACCTGATGGACCCAGGTACAGTGAGGACGTCCTTTAGGCACTGCTCTGCTCTCCACAGCAAATAGAGAAGGGAGACTCTTTCTTCAAACGCTAGATTGACAGCTGCCATTTTAATAACATACCGTCTGGCACTACTTCCTCCCAGATCTCTTCTTCATACGCGTGAAAATTGCATATAAACCTCGACCAGTTCATGCTGGACGCGCTTCGAGGTGCAAATGTGCACGAGATCAGCTAGGGGCATCTATCGCGTTCGGTGTGAACGCACCGTTAGTCAGCCTAATGCAGAGCACCAGAGAAACTATAACCCAAACAATTATCCACCTAAATCATTCTGAATTCAAAAATTAAGTGAATATATTACAAAAAAAGAAAATGCACATGCAATTATTGTGACAGTTTTTATCTTACTCCTTGTTATTAACTCCCCTAAACGCTGGTTTAGTTGAATTAAACCTTTCATCAATCCAGTTAATGCGGTTGCCCGCGACTAAACTCCACTGACAAAAACAGGAATTTTAGATAGAGCATCATAAAGCACTCATAAAATCACCAAAACCATGTCGGTCAGTCTTACCACCACTACCAACAATCACCAACTCCGGTTAAGCAGAAAGTAACCCTTCATTCATGGAGCTATATGCGAAGACGTTACGGCTCTACGCGGCTTTCCCGCTCTTCAAAGTTAGCTAACTCCAGAGAAGAAAAACAGTCCTACCAACGCAGATAACCATGAAACACACCTCATTCAAAGTCGACAGAAACAAAAACAAAAAAACGAACTTACCAAAATAACCTCATCAGTTTTTGCTCTGTTGCAACAATTAGCGACTCCGGTTAAGTTTTTAAAAAAAACATTAAATTCACCGACTTACATTTGAAAAATGTTTGGGTCTACAACCTCCCTGCTATATATAAATCTCCACACTACACAGGTAAAAAATTTTAACTAATAGTATTTATCTCTCACTCCACTAACCTAAATAAATATATCAAGAAATATTACTTACCTCACTATCAGGTATGCCAAAGAAGTAACTCCACGTGCGCTCGTTAACTTCTCAACGGACCTTTCCGCATCCGGTGGGCGTGGAGCATGCGCAATACATGACGCTATCAGAGCCTTTGGTTTGATGGACCTCATTCTCATTGGATTGCCATGAACGAATTTAACTCATCAAAGTTTTCTTTGATTTATATTCAACAAAAAAGAATGAATCATTTAATGAGCATAAAAATGATTTCTTCATGTGATGTAAACATATTACTACTTTGTTAATCAAACACATGCCCTAGTTGATTTTTTTGAGTGCAGGGAAGCTCTTTTCTTCAGGGTCTCCAAGGCCAAAACAACAAACAAAAAACCCCCTTTAGCTAGAAATCAAACCAAGTACTCACTAACCAAAACAAAATACAATGGCTGAGCTCACTGTCTAACCAAAAACAGGAGAAAACAGTTGAAACAAAAATGGCATTCCACAATGATGAACTAATTAACACAGTAAGGGCACACCTTTGCTTACAATAAAAGAAAGAAAACCAAGGTTTCACAGAGTTTAAGCTCTCTCTCTCTCACACACTCTCTCTCTCTCTCTCTCTCTCTCTCTCTCTCTCTCTCTCTCTCTCTCACACACATACACACACACACACACACACACACACACACACACACACACACCTGCTGCCCAAAACACGATAGCTCACAGCTCTGGCAAAAATGGGGGAAGTGGCAGTTTAGGATGGCAGACTATATGCCGTGGCTGACGAGCTGGGACACACCTCAGCTGTGGCTCATGAGGCAGACCTGCAACACAAGAAAAGGAAAAAAAAACCCTCTTCTACAAAGGGAGAGCTGTAACAGCTATATTAATATAATGTTGTTACAATATCAGTAAATGGTAAAATATCAGTAGATGGAATTAGAAACTTTAGTCTAACTTTAAGAAAAGTATCTAATTATATATCTTGAAGAAGCAGAAGGAAAATAAAAAATATATATGTATTTTCTTTTGCCTTCATTGTAGAGGGTGACTTTGCTCTAGACAGGAAAATGTGTACAGTAAGGGGTACCGGTCCGTGAGTCATTTGGTACCAGGCCACGAGAGTGAGACTTGGGTGTGAAATGTATGGTTTTTATCGGTTTTTAGCGTTATTTTGTTATCATTTTTTTTCCTTAACTCGGTTTTCCTGGGTCTTTTCACGTGTGTTATGAATAAATCTTCTTTTTTTCGGTACTGATACTACTTTTATTTTGTTGTATTTATTCGCGACACCTTAAAGGCCGGTCTGTGAAAATATTGTCTGGCACAAACCGGTCCGTGGCTAAGCATGCCACAGCCACTGTGTACCAGTCACACACTTTTCTTTACTTTAAATCTATCACAGTACAGCAAGCTAACCTGTTTATCCTGCTGTAACCTGCAGAGGATTTTCATGCAGACTTTAAATAGCAGAGTTAGTCTACCACAATTTAATTTGCAGCATGATTTACAATGTCACATGTTACAGACCCAATATCTAATTTAAAAACACGAGGACTTACATGTACGCTTTAAAATTTCCAGTTTATCAAACACCACTGAGCATTTCTTACCTTTAACCTCTCTTGCTCCTCTACTGTCCTGTCTTTCTTGTCTTTCTCCATCTCTGAGTGAAGTTAACTCTTTTTTTATTCCTCTCCCCGTGAATTACAGCAGCTTCAGCTAGCAACACACTGTCTAACAAAGTGCACACAAACAATTTGTGTGTTTGCTAATGTTTGTTAAGCTGATAGAAACGTTGAATTTGAAATTACCGTATGTGAAACTTCATTTATGCTCCTCGCTGCAGCTCAGTAGGGCTAGCTGGATGCTGAAGTGCCACAACTTACGGATACCTGCAGTCTCTGGTGTTGTGCCAAAAAAAAACAAAAAAACAACAACAATCAAAAACATCCCACTTTTAACCCTTGACTTTGGCACACGTCATCTCTTTTTATGCGACATCCTCCTGTGATTATTAAACGAACAGGAATGCCTGTCATGAGTTACTGTTTAGGCTCAAATCTGTTTGATGTTTAAATCGACGTGAAACAGCAACTTTCCTCAAATGTGTTAAAGCAAAGTAACATTATCTATCATTGTCTCTTACTGTAGTTTATGTGTGTGCATGTGTGTGTGTGTGTCTGTGTGTTTTCTATACATCGCATTAAAACTTTTTAGCTGTGTATGTCTGACATATAGTCACATGAATAAAAAATGGGTGCTTATGGTACAGTGATGGCAGTAAAGTAACCAAAACGCACACACATAAAACATGCATGCGCACACTCAACATAAGTTACCTGCATGTCACACATACAGAGGTGGGAAGTAATGAAGTACAAATACTTCATTACAGTACTTTAGTACAATTTTCAGGTATCTGTACTTGAGTAGTTTTCTTTCTGACTACTTTTTACTTTTACTCTCTACATTTTTAAACAAGAACTGTACTGTACCTTCAACGCTCAACACTTTTAAGACAGGCTCATTTATGCTGTTCATCCTAGCATGCTAAAGCTCAGACATACTAGAGGTGGGCGGATTGATCCAAATATCGATAGTACTGATACCAAAACTAGTATTGGTATTGGATGGATATATGATTGGATCGATACTTTGCTTTTATACTTCAAGTTCAATATTTAGCCTGCTGAACTGTTTTAATTATTTCTTTGGAAAAAATAAACGTCATACATGCACTATGAAAAATGTCTGAACCTTTTTCTGTGCTTAAGAGATAGAAAAATGTACATTCCAGGGGCCTGTTCTTCGTACCGCGCTAAGTGAGTTAGCTGGATTAGATTGTTGACGATTTCGCGTGATCTTGGATCGTTCGGTTCCCCGAAGCTCATCCGGGACTTGCTGTCATAGCAACAGAGCCGTAAGCGTAAACCTGCTCGGGAGCAGGTTTACTTTATGTAAACAGGATTAGATCGTGGCCACGCAGGTATGTCCGCTTCATTTATACGAAAGCAACAGCGATATTCCACACCTGTTTCACCATAAATAAATAACATCAATGTAACTAAAGATAATGCAGCATTTGATCCTTTCATTGATTTCACACAGATACATACAGGTCATTTCCTAAAAAAGGGAAATGTACTATTAACATTCTATTACATGTATGTGATTATTACAGATTTAATTCATATTTCAGAGTAGTAATTGCAAATCACTTCGTGTAATCAAGATGAGAGACCACGGCTATAAAAGCGAAGGTGGATTTGGGAAGTCTGTCACAGCCATGTCCTGTCCGTTTACGCGAGCCACCCATTGCGGAAGGTGCAAGATTGATAAGGAGAGTCCTCAGAATTCAGCGTATGTTGCGGGACAGACAGGATCCTTTAGCTCAGCGCGACAGTGTGCTCATTGAGAGATATCGATATTCCCGTGAGGGTATTATTCACTTAACCAACTTGTTGACGAGGGGGTGCAGGACCACCACCTGTCTTTTTTTTTGCTCTGCCCTTTTCTTGGTTGCTGTTATGAACAAACAAATAGATTATTTCAGGGTCTCTTTCCAAGAGACGAAAAGCAATATAAGTGATAAATATTACCATTCTGTAGAATATTCTTATATTCCACTTTTACTTGTTCCCATGTTCTAGTGGGTCCTGTTGTGGCTCTAATGTGAAAGGGGATATAATATAACAATATAATATAATGTAATATAATGTAATATAATATTGGATAATATAGTGTAATATAATAAATCTATAAATAAATAACAAAGTGACTGAATAGTGGTATTGTCATGCGCTTTGGGTGCCTTGAAAAGCGCTATATAAATCCACTCCATTATTATTGTTATTATTGAATTACTTACGAGTTTGATTTGTCAGCAACTTTCTGCCAGCCCCTCTCTCCTTGCTTTTGCAGCCTTTGCAGTGTTCCCTTGCGTTTTAATTAAACTCTGAAACTCCTGAAATCCCTCAATCAAGAGTTCTTGCTCTGCTGCCGGAAAATACCGAGCGCGCCCCTTCGACATTTTCGCCGACCAATCAGCGGGTTGCCGATCAATGTTTCTACTATCGATGCGTAGCCCCTTTTACGACACCCAGTGATGTCACATTACTGCGTCCAGCTGTACTAATCGTCAACAGCAGGTGTGTTCGGGGAACCGGATTAGCGAGCTCACAGTTAGCGCGATGGTTTGGTCTTGGATGTTTCATTTGATCTTGGATGTAGTAAGCGACGTACGAAGCACAGGGCCCTGGTCTCCAAAAAAAACCAAAACAGTTTCAAAACACATGAAAAGCTGAAAGGTGTGTTTTGTTGTGTTAACTAATTATTGTGGAAAGTAACAGTGGTGATTAATATGTGTTCAGAATTTGCAAATTGAAAATTCATCTCATAAGTCATGACACACTACTCTCCTCCAATTAGCTGCCTGAATAACTTAAAATTATTGGTACTGATATCGGCATTACTGGCCCTGTTTTTACTTGGTATTGGATGGATACCAACATTTGTAGTGTGGCACAGCACTACTGTGAATTAGGGAAAGTGTGAATGTTGAATGTTTTTGTTGAAATGTCCAGGGAAGTATATACATGTTAAATGACATGATATACGTGTTCAAATAGCATCAATTAACTTCAGGTTTTTTATTTCTATATGATAATTCATCATATTTAAAAAAAAAAGAGCAAGTAGTCTGATGTCCTGTAATCATTATGAAGCTATTATTTGAAATACAATAACACATTAAGTTTTTGGACAAAGTATCAGATCAGTATCTTCAATAAAATCCTGAATTTTACTTAGTATCGGATCAGAAAGGAAATTAGTTGTATTGCACATCACTAACAGATACTTCGGAAGCAGCCTGTCAGTCTATTTATTTTTTAAATAACTGTTGTGGATTCTAACACAATATGTCTTATTTTGCCCCAAACAGCCTGTTAGTAATCAAACTGTAGAAGGAAAAGGCAAGAATTTTAGGTTTCTGCAATCCTATAGAAATAGCAAAACCAAATGTATGCTGGTCAGAAATACCAACTGAAAAAATCCCTGTTCTAACTTCTTCCAGCAAATAATTTAATATAACTTTATGCATGCAAAAAAAAAAGTGCTTTAGATTAAAGACCTATTTCTTGTAACTTTTAAAGTCTCTACTCTCAACTCCTTGCTTGACCCATACCTTCCCTTTTACTGACCCTGACACTTCCCACTTCACTCTAAGTTCTCTCTGTGTCTTTTAAA